AGCTACAGTTTTTCGTACGTAGAAAATTAAATGCCTATGTTTTAGGAGTTTTAAGTATTATTTGAAGTTTGGAAACTATTTACGTATGTTAAATATAATAACTCGCAAATGACAAAACTATTTCATTATAAGATTCATTTTAACTATATTGGTAAAGTGCAGTTAGGTAAAGTTAAAGTGCTATAGTTCATTTTAATATTAGCATTCGGTTACTTAAGTCAGTCCTTGAACTGAATAATCCACTGTCTCTTGTGGACAAAAGTGAACTCTTGTTAGATAAAATATGAACAATGTATTGGCACCTGTTACAAACAAACTTAAATGAACATAAGAATCCGTTACTGTGTTTCGTCCTGACGCAGTGTTCTTCTCGAGACGCCTTTACTGCGTGCATGCCTTTATCAGTCTCAGTTACTGATTTAAATTTAATATGTTTTAAAACTTGACCTAAATCTTCCTATTTTGCATTTAAATTCACCACAGAAAGCTTTCAATAACTGCCTGCATGTGGCTACCTATACGCCTGGATAATTTAAGAGGTTCTGAATTTCTTTCTGTTGCAACATCATTAAAATTGGAATATTTCCAATTGCATTTCCCTTGCCTACGGGAACTCAGAAAAGAAAAATGCTGCACTGTGTCTGTGTCTACAATTGCTAGAGAGATATATCTCTAGCTCTATATATGCTTTGTACGGCAGAAAAACATTTTTATTTATATAGTTTAAGACTATAGATACGTATGCATTGTTGTAGAATATGAGCAAATGTATAGGTCCGTTAAATACTAAATAACAAATCGTCTTTACTACTTCTAGAGTTTAGTATTAGTAATTTAGAAAGAGCTAGGCAATTCTACTTATTAGATATGATCAACTTGTTTTAACAACAGGCAATTTTCACTAGAAATATGGGTTACTAGCTTTTGCGCTTAAATCAATACAAGCAATTTCCATTAGGTTTTAACTTTAGCAATAACAGATGAATAACACTGACGAATTTTCATGCTTATGTGGATAACATTATGAAATCGTACCAGACGATTCGATTCATTATAGCATTCAAGTTTCTTTATTTATCCATAAAAATTCTTTGTCTAAAAACAAGGATCACATATGTAAAATGAAATAACTACACAAACACATTATCTGGAAACAAATTAGATAAAGATTATATTATATAAAAGTACGCGACTAGCTATATTGATCTTTGTGTTATAGAATATCAATTGGAATTTAAAAACATTTTTTTTCTGTTCTAGTATTATCATACCAATAAAACTAATACTAAATAAAACTCAAAACAAGTTGGCAAAATTTAAGTAATAAGTAAATAAACACGTTATTTCAATACTTAAAGTATCCACGAATTAAAAAAGTTTTTACAATTATCGGATCCTTTGTTACTTAGTCCTTTTCAGTATGAAAGTGTCATACATAGCACAATTTGAACTAAATAATTATAATTCTCACTTTCTTTATGTGTTTTGTAGTAAATAAACTTCAAAATTGTCTATTAATAAGTACGATTTATTTAATATAATTTTTATACAGAACTAGTCCATCAGAGATTACTACAACAATAGCAAACAAAGAACTTACTAACTTTTTTAATATATATTTTTGCAACATAATTATACCTTATGATCAAAAAAGAACGAGAATTAAAAAAAACGCAAATTTGAATTTTTAATAATTTTCTTTATTATCGCCTTCAAAGTACTCTCCTCCTGCGGCAATACATGCGTACCAACGCTTGATCCAATTTTCCATACAAGTTTTATAGGCCACAGAAGGTATGACCTTAAGTTCACGCAGCGAATTCTCTTTTATGGCCTCTATGGTCTCAAAACACGTTCCTCGCAATGGTAATTTGAGTAGGGGCAAAAAGAAAAAGTCACACGGGGCCATATCTGGAGAGTACGGTGTTCGGTGATTGGTTGAAGATATTGGTGGAGTTTTTGACTAAAAACTGCGACACAACTAACGCTGTGTATAAAGTCCATGAGTTTTCCTTTCATAAATTTGGCCACTTTTTGAGAATGCTCTTACGCAAACGACGCATAACGGCCAAATAATACTCCTTATTGATCGTTTGACCGGTTGACCGTCCGGAAGGAATTCATAGTGCACCACACCATGAATATCGAAGAATGTGGGATGTGAGGTCACTATCTGCATTGGAAATCATCTCTTTGGCCGCATCACAACGACTTCTTTGTATAGACGCCAAACAAAAACTAATCGTACGATATGCGCTAAACTTTGACAGAATGTGTATAATAGGGTTGCCAGTGTGAAAATAAAATAAAATTTATTGATTGGATAAGCGCAGGTATTCAAAAATTCTCGTTCTTTTTTGATCACATGGTATACAATATTTAACATAAAAAATTTGGGCTTGATTCTGAATTTATTATCGCATATGGCTGCGCTCTAAGTACTAGGAGTGCCGTTTTACTGAACTCAAAAATTATTTTTATTATAAAACATTCAATTAAATTAAAAGAAAACGGTTATTAATAACATTATTATTATCAAAAAATTTTATATGACTTTTATATCAACTTTATTAAGACATATATATCTTTTAGAAAAACTTGAAATTTAAATTAAAAGTACTTCCCAAATTCAGTTTAGAGATTTATGAAGAGTTGATGACTGCCACAAACACTTGTAGGAATACCAAGAAGGTATTAAATAGAATAGCAGGTCGGAGCATCCTAACACGTCCATCAATAATGAAGTTGTGCGAAAATTAAACATTATTGTGCTTGCTAATAGAAGAATCAGTTTAAGAGAGGCTTTTGACAAAAAGGACTATTAATGGCTCATGCAAAGGTTTTACGATAGTTTTAAATAAAAAATTATTTTCAGTAAATTTTGTGCCAAAAATTTTATAATGTAACATGACTGCACTACTCCTAGTCCTAGACATAGCACTGTACCAATGCTTTCCTTTTCCTGAACTAAAAGAAAACACATTTTTTACAAAAAAAAGACGAGTGGCATTAAGACGAATTCTTGGAGTGAAGTCAAAACCATGCCCCAATATATGTTCCAAGTATTTTGAAATTTATAAAATTCTGGTTACTTTTTGAACGTATCACGTATGGAATATAATTATATTCGACATGATTAATATGAATTACAAGGGTTAGTATTTATACTGATTGTTGTTAAGTGTCATTATTAAACATAATCTACCTTAGCCTTTTTATTAAAAGAGCGTGAGCGTTATTAACGCGAGAACGTGGATTACGAGTATTAAAACAAGAGTGCATCGATCAAAATATTTTCACATTTGGCGGTGTACACTGAGGGCTCTTCATACAAGGTTTCAGCACTCCAAAAAATTTCAAGCTACTTTAGTATGGTGCCATTTATTAACGATAAATGTATGAGATATTTATAAGGGCCGTGTTGTATATATACACTGACCACCTCTGATTACATTAAAAATCTGGATGCACATATGTATATAAGCCATGACTTTTTTGTTCTCTAAGTATTTACTAGTATTTACTCAAAAGGTTTCATAAGGACACATGAATTTTGTTATTTATACTTCACTTGCGTGTTATGTTTTTATTGTTATGGAAAGCGGTTAAAAGTGGCTACCATGCTACCATTATGTGATTTTTTCCATATCAGCAAAAATATTAAAATTATGACTTCCTTCTCTGTTGGTCCTTGAATAAGAGTAGGTAAGTTTCTACTACCTTCAAATGTGATGAAATGATGGTAAAGGCCACAGCAAATTTAATGGGGCTGCTGCGTCGAACTCAAACCGCAATCACATTATCCTGAAATCGTTAACCAGCAGAAGTGTGTACATAAAGCTAACAGGGCACTAAGAAGGATGCCTACTCAAAATCGAAAATATCTGGGAAACTAGGAAACGAAGAAGCACGTTGTTGGCGAGAACGATAGAGTTTTAGAGTAGATTGTTAAGTAGTTAAACTTGCCGTTTAGCGACCGCGTTTTCTAAAACAATCTAAATGGTATATGGCAACACATGCGGAGCGAAGAAAGTTAATTGAAATGGCAAAACTAATACATTACACACACTTAGTATATGTAGTCGTGTGAGTGTGTTGGAAAACATGGCATCCATTACAGTTAATATTGTCACTAAGGATACTGCCTGTGTCTGCGATCGCTTCATAAAGTTTTTGTCTGTGTAAAATTTAGAAAGTTTGAGGCACCTCGCAGGCAACATTCGGATTGCTACAAATTGCGTTTTGTTTTGCCGCAATGAAAAACTTGTTGAGTGAAATGGTGGAAGGGAAGAAACTATTTCGCAACTTTTTCTATCAGCACTTGTCCGGCACATTTACTCCGGTAAGTACGAAATGCATAGTTTTATTCAACACAGTATTGACATGCAGTGCAATTAAAACCATATACGGTTGCATGTGTCATAAGGCGAAAAAACGAGGTGCAACCAACGTTGAAGCGAAAAGAAAGTAAAGAATGTTTGCCGTGAAAAAATGGCTTTTATAGACGTGAGTTGTCGTTAACAAACGAAATTCAAAATTATGCCCTATTGACAGGGTTGCCAAACACACTCACAGCGCCCAATCAAATAGCAAAAGCACTGTAAAAAACGCCATATTCTTTGCACTCGCACGGGTATTGAAAAAGGCAATAAAGCATAAAAAGTGTTCGCATTCTCAGCAAATATGTTGTAAGCTAAATTAAGCATTTAGCGTTTGCAACATTTGCATGTTACATGCAAGTTGATAGGCTACAATGGAACACAATTCATTCTAATGACGCAACGGGCAGTGGAAACAGTTTGCACTATTTTTCTATTGTTTGTGCCTAGCTCTATTACAGTGACAAGTAGCGAACGGATGCCTGTAAAGTGGAGTGAAGGCAAGTCACGAAAAAAGCAGTAAAAATGTTTTCAAAACACTGAAATGGTTTTGAAATGCAGAGATGTTTTCCCTGTTTTTATTGCCTAAAAAACTCTAAGAGTCCTATCAGTTGAACTCACCTGTGTAGTCCGGCGTAATATGTTGTCGCTGTAGGTCGTTCATAGAACAGCCGCTTGCTGCGCTTGTGTACATGTTCATGTTGAAAGGCTCATGATAGAGGCTGCTTTTGTCAATGGACTCATTGTCGTCGACGGTCACCACCTGAAATATGGAAAATCTTGTAACTTCAAAATTTTAAAAACAAATTCAAAACAAAAAAATATTTATAAATAGTAACCGAACTGATTTGTTAAGTGACGAAGGAAGTTATTTCGAGATAAATTTAATTTAGATTTATATAAAATTACAATCATGACGTCAGAATTGTTGTAAGGGACTTCAACGCAAAGATGGATAAAGAAGGTATTTTTGGTGCTACTGCCGGACAGTTCAGCCTTCATAAAAAAAACTTTTGATAATGGAAGAAGGTTGATTAATTTCGCTGCTGATAGAAAAATCACAGCATGTATAAGATAACATGGCTGTCACCTGATCAAAACACAAGATCTAGCGTCTTGAATGTATGTAATATCCGAGAAGCCTACATCAACTGTAATAATTGTCTTGTTGCGGTCAGATCCGCGCACATCTATGTGCGATGAAAGAGGTGCGTAACAAGCACAGTGAAAGTTTGACATTGAAAAGTTGTAGTTACAACAAACAGCTAATGACCTTCCTACTCGACTCTCTGAATATCTGGAAAATGAGCTCAACGAAACTGATGTTTCTGCTCAATAAACCACATCTCCTATTCTATACGTACCGCTGCAGTAGAGGTGATTGACTGTCACCATAGACAAAAAAACAGATGGTACGACCAAAAGTGTCGTATAGAAGATTGTATAGCAGAATCCTTTTTTTTACATGGATAGTGTGGATTTGCCGCCAATCAGTCATTTCATTTTTCGCAACTTCATATCAAGTTCAGCTTGTTTCTTTTTTATGTGCTCATTCCATCGAAGTTTTGCATCCAGCGTTATGCCAAGGTCTTTTGCAGTATTGGCAAATGGTGTCTGCGTAGCTTGGGTCGAAATAGGAAATTACTGTATTTTTTATTTGCAAAATCAACAGTAATAAATTTAGCTGAATTCAGTTTGATACGCTATTATTTTGCCCAATTGCTTAATGAGTTTCTTCAGCGGAATCAGTATGTTAACTGCCAAAACTCCTTTATCATCTGCAAATTTTGCAATTTGGTGGTTTGGTGTTAGCTTTTCGAATTCTATTATAGGCATTAATCTCTTTTAGGATAGCTTTTCGAAGAGCTTCGAAGTATGCCTATATGGCTATATGCATTTTTGCGACTTGCCTGGTTTTGAAATCATATGAAGAGACTTTAAGCGATACCTCTGTAATCATCACCATCAAAAACATTGATTTGGCCATTTTCAAGTAATCGTGCTGTGAAGTTGTTTTTGATAAAAAATCATTGTTTTTTCTCAATAGCACTTTGCAGTTCTTGATATTGATTAACAATTAAAATCACTATAGGAGGTGGGCGTAGTTCACTTCTTTATTTATCACTTCCTTATACCATTAAATACTATTATTTTATTAAGTTCTATTCAATATTTTTGGCTTGAATGATTATTTTAGGTGAAGATTCTGCTCTACGTCTTTTATTGGGTCTAGTTTTGTTAATGATTTAATCTGTCTCTTTTGCGAGCTCCTCTTCATCTGCTACATATTCATGCGGTTTTTCATTCGAAAAACTATTCGGTAATGAATTTTTCGCTTTAAGTGAATTATTTTTTATGTTTACGTAGCTGCCCTAATATTTGCAGATCAATCTCCTTTTGTGGCAGATATTTTTTTTCTGGCTCACTTATTTTATTAAAAATTGGAGTAGAACCACCAAGTTTGGAATTTCGCAAGCTGAGTTTGATCATTGTCTTCCTAATAAGGAATCACGTATGAATGCAAGGTGCAAGGTGAAAGTGCCATAATTGTAATTTACTTTTAGACACAATTTAAAGTCGACAATGTAGTGCAGTGTAGACTATTCCACAAATATCGATAATCAAGTGCAATATTGCCAAATTATTCGATTTAATAGTTCTGTCACCTGAATGTTTTCAGTTTGTTTTATATATAGTTCGTTTTGTACTTAGCGGAAAGTTTTTTTGTTATTCTTGTATATATGTAGGTAAATGCATGTATCTACCTACATATATATCTTTCAATTTGAAAAAAAATTCTTCTAATTTTATATCCAAACCACGGAGCAGCGGCATATGAGGAACCTGTAGTCAATGACGACGAACATACCAGTGGTACGCGCACAAATCAAAACAGATTCACTAAAAATGTTTTTTTTTTCCAATTTAGAAAAACAAGCGAAGCAAAGGAGTGTTGTGGTAAATGAGGACAAAATAAAGTACTTTTTGGCAACAAATAAATCTCGAAGTTGTGAAGGACTTTGAATATTTGGGAACCAGCGTAAACACCAAAAATGACGTCAGTTGAGAGATTCAATGAAGAATCTCTCTTGACAAACAAAAATCACGCTCTACATGTCTATAATCATGTCTGTTATGCAGACGCTTGGAGAGTTCCTAATAGTAATGAGAAGGCATTAGAGGCATTAGAGAGAACAATTTTTCGAAAGATCTGTGGTCATTTACACGAGTACCGAGTTAAATGGAATGATGAACTGTATGAGCGATACCCCGATATTGACATAGTTAAGCGTATGAAAATACAGCGGCATCGCTGGCTTGGTCATGTCGTGGGAATGAAAGAAAGTATTTCGGCTAGGAAGATGTCTGTTTTGGTACCCGCAGGACGTCCGGATCTTCGGTGGAAGGACCACGTGATTTACGATTTTGGGACACTCGATACTAACAACTTGCGTTAGAAAGTCACTAATCGGGTTGGCTGGCGGAGGCTACTCGACTCGGCCAAGGATGACTCGAGTCTGTAATGGCCAACTAAGTAAGTAAGTATGTATTGAGTTATAAGACATCAGTAAAAAATAAGTTATTAAAGTTAACTAAATAAAAATAAATTGGTAACCCTAAAAAAACTTAAACATATAGTTATTTAAATAAATGATAATATAAATATAATTCAAAATTATGATTGCTGAAAACGTGTACGAGTGAAGTAAACTGATGATAGTAGCACTTAGTAATAAAACAAGAGCATACAAAGAAACTCAATTAAGAGGGGTTTTTATAAACTAACTTAATAGATAACATTAATTAAAAAACTATTATATTTAATGTAAAATTGTTTACAATATTTTAAGAGGTTTGAATAGAAAAACTCATCCTTCTGTATGAAAAGAGGAATATAAATGCTACTGGCGAGAACTTTCTGGGATTAAAAAAATAAACTATTCTTTAAAGGTAGTTATTTCAGAAGCAACTTATCGATTCTCTCACTATAATTTATTTACCCATATTATTGCATAGTAAAAGCATTACATTGATATAAAGAAGTGCAGGGTTATGGTTATATAAAATGGACTTACCTTCATGCCATTGCAATTCAGACGTTTGTCAGCGCCACCCAGCGTATCCGGATTAAAATTATGCTGAAATGCATCCAAAACATTGCTGCCACGTCCGCGCTTATTCCGTGCAATTATCAGAAGTATAACCACAACCAGTAATAAAATAATTGTGGTAAGGACGGTGATAATCACGCCAACAAAACTTGAGTCAGCTTCTTGGTCAATGGGTTTTGGGGAGATAACTGTAATGAAGGAGAATAGAGAGTGAGCGAGAATAAACAAAAATTTTAGTCTTGATTATGTTACAACACAACACCAACAGCAAAAACATTATGTGGAAGAAACAGCAACAAAGATAGTTGTAGGAAGAAGGACAGCAGTACCGTAGTGTTGTTAGTGAGAGAAGTATGAGTATTTAGAACGATGCGCTGTACGAAGAAGACAGTACGATAAAGAAGCACCATGCAAATTGAAAATATTAACAGCTTTAATACCCAACAAATGTCGTGACTATACTCGAAAGGCTAGGGTTCGCGAGCATCAACAGAAACTAGCAAACTAGCATATGAGCAATTGGGGGGCTTGGGCAAGTTGGAAAGAAAAGCTCATTGTAGTTTCGCAACCAGTTCCTTAACAAAAATAATAAAGAATTTCCATGGTAGCTGCAAGCTTCAACTTACTGCCTTGTCAAATGATTTGTGCAGAACTTTTTTTGCTATTTTTGTGCTTTTTTTCTCTATTTTTTCGGTATTGTCTTTTATATGAAAATTGGTTTTTTAGTTACATTTTTTTCCTGCAATTGGTTGGCTGCATTTTTTTTGCTTACGTGGCGCGAAAAATGCGAAATACTTGTAATATTTTTCCGGCTTCATTGTGCGCCTTTTCTTGCGACGAAATTTCCCTTGCGTTTTTTTTTTCGTTTCGTTTTTACTCTATTTTGCATTTTATTTTCGTGTAAAAATCGCAAAATAAAATTAATATATGGCAGCACACGGAGTGGAGGCGGGGGCGAAGACGGAGCCAGAGTTAGTTCGGCATGTAAAGTTACACGGTGGATTGCTGTTATGAAAAACATGATTTGTGGATTTTTAATATACACAACAGTGTAAAATTTAGGAAAATTCCCTCTAGTTACTTTTAAAATATTTTATTTCGCTTTTTTTGAGTTTTTTTTTTGCTGTTTTTTATTCTAGAGAAGTGGGGGGGGGGGGCAACACACGAAAAAGGAGGTGGGGGGAGGGTATGTAAAATACAAATATAAATGTCTTGTTGGTATGTTGAACAAAGTTCTCCATGAAAATCCTTAAAATAAATTATTTGTTGGTTTCATGGTATATTACCGGGAAATGCAAGCCTCATTTTTCATACCCACAGTTTTTGGCGTAAAACCTTCAATGACTTGTTTTAAATACAATTGCCCGTTGCTTGCAACCCACCGGCCCCCTTCCACCTTGCACTTTGTAAGCAGCACACTAAACTGCGGAACATATTCATTTAATTCAATGTAGCCTAACGCTACCTACTGCTGCTAGCTTAGCTACTACAACTTCCTTGTAGTGTATCAACATCCTTGGCATTATCCTGTTAGTGGCAATAAAAGAAGTTGAAAAAATTTACTGAACGCAAATAATTGTACTTACTTGGTGGAGTAAGCTGACTTCGTTCATCAAATTTTCCATCAGTGTTCGCTACTCGCTCCACTTCATCACGCTGTAATGGGTACTCGGCAGTATCTTGGGGCGAAATGTTTCCGCCAAATTCTTCGTCCGTAAAATTACCAAGCACAGGAACTGTAGGAAAAAAAAAGAAGTCAGCGAAGTAAAGAAAGGAAAATAAATAAAAATAAGCATAAATGTGGGCATAAAATAAATTTTTTATTTAATTTGTGTATTAAGAAGTATGATGAGTTTAAGTAATTTTTAAATTTGTGACTACATTACATGGATGTTTTGACATCTCCAATGTAAGCAGTGGCGCGTTAAGATAGCAGCTCATAACTCGAGGAACTGTTTAATTGAATATAAAAATTAATTAAGTTCAGAGAGTTTAGTTCTCAACTTATTTCTCTCGCTTTAACTAAATTTTCAGTTTCTCAGTTTGTTTCAAGGCAAGAACCACAAAAATTGTTCTGGAACAATATTCAAATATTTCACACTCAAATTACATTAATCGACAGCAGCTGGACTGAATAATTTTCAAAATAAATTATTTTCTTTTTAATTTGCGGATTAATTACGAAATCAAATGAGACGATAGAATTAGTCAGTTGTGAGTAATATGGATTTAGATAACAGAAGGATTATTTTATTTCAGATTCTCTACTAAATCAACGTTTGTCTTTAGAATTGCTTGGCAATCACCCGCAGACTTTTTATAAAACTAATTTTCATTCACTTAAACGAATTTGAACATTTAATTGAGATGTTTTGGAATGTATTACAGAAACCTGAATACTTATTTTTAGTAGCACGAATTGGATGATTTCGACTTGGGCGATTGTGGTTTTAGCAGGATCCTAAAACACGTCGTTTATACCATGACGTAAGTAATATATTAAAAGAAAAATTCAAAATGTATAACTGATCCTAAATATCAATTAGTAGTATATGGATTTTTCTGACTTTTTGTTAGATGAACTGTTGATTTTTATCGATATCGGATATCGATCGCTAGTAGAACGCAAAACATCTCTCTCATTTTGACCGTACCAATTATAATAATTTCCCATTTTTTGAAGAGGATGAAAACATCAAAATACTTTTTACATATTTTTACTTAAAAGCTTCAAACTGGATGAACTACTTGCATATTTAATGACAACTATAGAAATGTCCGAACTCTTTTAAAGAAAATATTTCCTTTTTATAAATAAAAAAAGGAATTTCATTGCAATGATGACAAGAAACTGTACCAGGTTAAATTAAGCTTATTAAACTTAGATAAATAAGTTTATATTATAAACTTGAACTTTATTTGATAAATGAAAAAGTGAATAAAAGAAAAGCATAAAAGAGGCTACGAGAGCTTCATGTCAGATAATAATGTTTTTATTTGTACCCTCGTCCACACATATAGGCCCAGAGACTAGCAAGTCAAATTTAAAAGTAACACAAACAAAACGCAAACTTTCCACAATTCTCGAGCGGAACATAATACAACCATCAAGTGTAACAATTGTTTGCACCTAACCACATCCGTCATTCTGAAGCCGGAAGCAAAATTTCGTCTTCATTTTTATGAGTTTTGTCAACATGTGAGCAGCGGTGTAATGTTTAATCCTGCTCATGATAATGCAGATGAATGGAATGGAGTATGGGAATAGGAATATTAAGGATAATAACGGCAACGACTACGGTGACACCGACCGCGTGGTTGATAATGATTGTGGGCAGAACTTCCGGCTGTGATGGTCGACATAACAAAATTTTTTATTATGTATTTACGGCAGCATCGTTGTTGAGCCAACATTGTTTTGTGTATTTTACAAGTGTCGAGTGTCGAGTGCTGAGTGCTGACTGCTAAGAAGAAGAGTATGCAGTCATAATGAAGCCACTTTACCTAGAGTTACCTCAGTCGATGTACGTAGAGAGCAAAGTAATTAGGTGTGGTAAGGGGTATTATGATTAATGAGCATTTTTATGTCATCAGCGCATCAAGCCAAAGTACAAAAAGAAATAAGGAGCACAAAACTATAAAACTGGCTCGAAAACAAAAACGGGTGACAAAAGTGGAAAATACAAATGGAAAAGTTGACCAGAAAAGTTAATGAATATTTTGAGTACGACGAGGCAAAAATCTCTATTTTGAATGGCGACGTGGTCAATATTTGAAAATGCTAAGGGAATAAAAATTCACAAAATTCAGAAGCAACTCAGAGTGGGTAGCTCTTTTATTTTTGGTCTGTTAATCTTTTAACTTTATTTTGTATTTGAGTTGTCTAAACTAAATTATTTCACTAGCCACTTACATGCCTTTTGATACAATGTACTTTTCCACGAAAGTGAGATTTAACCAAGGACAATCGTCAGCATTTATTATAAATCCACCTCAAGGTGAATGAGGACTTAACGTTTAAAATAGCAATGTTTATGGGTTTTAAAAATAAAACTTCAATAGTTAATTTCACATATCCACGATGGTTCAGAAAATGTTTGGAATATAACTTACAAGATTATATACGTATATCCGCACATATGCACATAATCAGTTATGTGCTTATTTAAAATATATGTAAGAGTCCTGAAGTATAGAACGTAATGTGAAACCACAGACATTTTTTAAAGCCACTTTCTTATTTCTTAATGTACGCTCTTTGCAGCTCAATACAGGGTATGTATACTAGAGGTTCAGAGTTGCTTTATTCCTTTCCTTATATAGGATTTGCACTATCGCTCAAATAACATCTATTACGCACCCCAAAGTCACATTTCATTAGCAACTAAGGATTCCGTAATCATGCTTTTCCAGAAATAAGACACCTATTCAGACTACAACAACGAAACATGTTCTTCTGTGTTCGTCTAACTTGCACTCAGGTGCTTGCATGTCGTTGAGGCATCTATTTTATCTAGTATGCTGAGTCTTCGACTGATATAAGATGTACCATACTTTTTATACTGTTCTACCTTTTTTTAGATATGCATGTGTTTAATCGGTGATTACTGAATTACCAATTTATGATTCCTGATTAACTATTCTAGACAAGTGCGTTAGGTAGGTAGTTGTTACTAGGAGCAACACCTGGAGAACACATTATTTATGGGAGCTAGGTTATCGACATGTGAAATGATGAATTGTATTGATAAAGAAGTACTTCTTTCTTCTTCACTCGGAAATCTCTTTATCGTAACTTCATCCTTCAAATGAATCACTACAGCACTAGAGCAATAATATACAATTATTCGTTATTGGTGCTTTCTGTTTCTTTTCAAGGTATTCTAAATCAATTGTATTTCCACATATGTTGCGATTTAATAAAATTGAACTTCAATAAATTAAACGATATTGTTTTAGTACTTTTTATTAAAAAAAATACATATTTATAAAATTTTAAAATATCTCGCAGCTATTCAGCTTTTAACTATTATTCCTAAAGTGAATATAAGTTTTGGATTACAAACACTTTTCAGACGAATTGTAAAAGTTGTCTAAATTAAGTTGGACTCTTTGCATTCACAGTGAAAATTTAGAGTGTTTTTGTGAAACTTAATGTTTTCATAAAAAATGATATAAAAATATTATGATTTTGAGTTTTTCCGAATGCTGCCCATCCGTGACTGACAAAACAGTTCTTCTCGTCGCTTATATTTCAATTTCCAAATACAGAACTCAGCAATGAAAAGTAAACATGAGTGAAACATAGACTTCGAAACATGCACAGTACAGAATATGACGAAGAGTTACTTCTAAATCAATGCCAAGTTTCCAAGTGCCAAGTGGAATTATAATAAGAAAACAATAAAAGCTACATTCTACTTGTTTTGTTGAAATTATATGCGAAACTGATAATAAGGGGCCTTACAATCGATCATTTCTGTTCTAGTGAACCCAAAAAAACTTGCAAAAAATTAGAAACTGAAATAGAATCTTCTCCTTTAATCACAGTATGTTCATCAGAGAAGATTTTTAAGGGTTTACATTGAGTACATAAACTTATGTTCCATATGTCTTAGTCTCTGTTCATCTGTCAAGTACTGAATACATTATGACTCCTTCCTCGTAAAGTCTAATTTCTGTGGGTCTAAATTTTATTTAGATTCACTTAGGTTTACACACTGTTGGCATATAATCTAGTTGTTCAAATATTGGCTTTATAAACGGTCTAAAGATAATCCAGAAGAAGAAAGGTAAGAAACAGTTGTGGTAATACTGTTTTGACACCAATCCCAGTTATCAAGAAAAACGTAAGACTGCAAATGATTGACAAAAGCAAATAAGAAAAATCATATAATAGATCGTGAAGAACGTTGCTAATGCGAGCAATGTTTACAAAAATTTTAAATGTATTTTCTTTCAATATAGGAAGTGACTGTTATTAAATGGAGCCGATAGCTACCTGTATATCGTTGTTTTGATAGATCAGAAAACATAAATAGATAACAAAGACGAATACATGGATGAAGTTGCAAGGACAGAAAGGATGGGCGTGAGGATCATGTTGTGCTATTGCACTAAAGCAGCTTGAGTTGACGAAATCTTGATTTTTGAATTGAATGGCAGCATAAGTTAATAGGGCTTCAAATCAGTGTAGGAGCTAAGATATAAAAACTGATGGGCAATGAGAATATAAACAATATCATATATATTATAACAGCAAAGCGTCGTTGTGATGTGGCCAAAGATATGATTTCCAACGCAGATAGTGACCGCACATCCAACATTCATTGAACGCATCATAACTGGTGATGAGACATGGGTCTATGAATTTGACATGCCCACCAAAAAACAATCGACCGAATGGTGCTTCGAAGGTGAGCCGAAACCGAAAAGAGAACGCCAAAGTCAGTCCAAAATCAAGGTTATGCTGACTGTTTTCTTCGATATTCATGGTGTGGTGCACTATGAATTCCTTCCGGACGGTCAACCGGTCAAACGGTCAATAAGGAGTGTTATTTGGCCATTATGCATCATTTGCGTGAGGCCATTCGCAAAAAGAGGCCAGATTTATGGAAGCAAAACTTATGGATTTTACACCACCAGAGAATTCGCTGGGTGAACTAAAGGCCATACCTTCTGCGGCGCATAAAACTTGCATGGAAAATTGGATCTAGCGTTGTCATACATGTATTGT